ACATAAGTAAACCCACTAAATGACATAACAGAAATGGAGTCTGATCATATTTTAAGACAGGCGATATTATTATTTCCCACTAGTGCCTCACTTATTGGAAGACAATGCGTTCACAGATCTATCATTTTGGCGTAAGCACAGAAGCTCCAGGAAGACAAATAAGGGTGAAAAACAAAGAGATGCGAAGAAGGGGAAGTGAATTCCTCCGTTTAGGATTGTACTTCGACACAAAGTCAAGATATCATTGTTTTTGAGCATTGATGAAAAAATTCGATTGTGTGATTTCCGCTGCTGACCACAAAACTAATTCTACAAAGTGTCAATACCGACCATCCCTGAAGGAAAAGCAGTAGTGCAATGGAGGAAGGGGTGGAGAGAGAACATGCAAGGAAATAATCCAATCATTTGTCGCGTTGAACCAACAAATGCAAGCAAATCATACTGCCCCTTCTTTTGATAAAATGCATGAGCAAGGTTGCGTAATAAATAGACTTATCTACGTTGTGAGAGACGGTAATCAAGACTCAAGTGCAAAGAGAATGGGCGCGTTTTGCGTGTCTTTTTCGACTGAGACTAATGTTAACAGAAACAATAAAATCCAAGTGATATCATCGAGTAAAAAACACAAGAAAAGTCAACTAGGTGGGCAATGGAAAGTTGAAAAAAACTCCAGAATATCACTGAGGAATTATTACAGGAAGTAAAGTATCCATGCAACAAATGCGAGACAAAAGTTGCACAAACTGAGGCAAAAGTAATAAAAATTAGAAACCCATTCATACACTCACTTGAAGAGACATCACGACGTAATTATACTTCTCAGTACGACCACAGCCGAGAAATTTGCAGAAATGCTCCTTGTCCTGCAGTTTACGAAGGACTGCTACTTCCATCTTCAGAACCTGCTTTGATTGTCGCGTTGACTCCAACTTTAACGCAACCTTCTCGCGAGAATTTTCCTCTTGAGCCTCGTAAATCTCACCAAACCCTCCACCACCAATTTTCTTAAGAACACGCCATCGATTCTTGATAATGTGTCCGGATGATACCAAATCAGTTTCCGATCCAGCTGATGCCATTCCCAGCGCTAATATACTAAATTATTTGATCAACTAGACATAACAGAGTGTGATTGCATGTGATATTAACCAAGATTTATGAAAAATCAATTTCAAGAATTCAAACCACCGATCCTCAAGGTCTCGAACGTAATTTATTCGATGCGCTTAAGTCATTCCTACCAATGGTGAACGGATAAACAATACTTATCCAGTAGTTTTTAGTCATGTGCTTATTACATTACTTTCTAAAATCAGGTTTAAAGAGCCTACCTTCAATAATATCTTTATGGCACTAACATTTGCCCACTGAAAGAGCAATTAATAAATACTTTTATCGTCTGTAAATAAATGAAAGAAGTTGGTTTTTGGACCAATTATAAAAAAATGTCGGCGAACCATTGTTTTTTAACACAATGCCCACTTATTTGTCAATTTGCGTAGCCCGTTGCTGTGACGCTTATATCTACTTATAATCTAAAAACGAAACGTGGTACCCCAAATAAGTTTCTGTATTTATGAGAAAATTGTCAAATTCTTTCACGGCTACAATTTGTGACCAAAAAATGAGAATTTCATCCTTACTGTAAGCAGCGATGAAATAGTAATTCAATGTGATCCTCGTCCAAAAGGATAAAAGTTTGCCATTTTTTTAATAACCCGTGTTCTGTCTCAATGGCGAGGCTCAACGTTTGCTGCATAAGCGATTGCAACTTAGATGCTTGGCATTTAGCACATCATCCTATGCCGCAAATAGCAAAACTTTGTGAAATAGTAGGAATTCAACTAAGGTATTCTTTAACACTTGTGACAAACCCATGACTTTACCCAAATTGATGTGTGCACTGACGACCTACGCAAATTATGTGATAAGGGCATTATGCAGTGTTAAAATGGCGAAAGCTCTAATTAATAAAGTGGTTTGTACATAAATACGCATTAATGCTCTGTTATTATCTGCCTTTTTAAAATATTTTAACTAATAGGTGTTTTTTAATTGGGAAGTATAGGCTAGTGGTTTCCTTTTATTTCTTTACAAATTTAATTTAGCAGACTCACTATTTTGATTATGGTCTATGACAAAGGACCTCTACACTTTGTGTTTTAAATGAAAAATTCCAAAGGACTGAACATATTTTGTCAAATTTTTCCACGCCTAGGTTGATTTAGCCTAGCACAATTTTTAATGATTTGAAAATGTTGCGAAGGTTGTTTTTCGACGTTGTCCTACCAACTGTGAGCATTGATCAACTGCCTTCCTTTACCATTAAAATTGGTTGACGTTCAGGTTAACTAACGACTCCTTACCATCTAAACCATTAAGTCGAACCCCTTTATCCTGGTTTGGTCACTACTGGCATGTCTTCTGAATTCATACTTATTCACTTCATTGTTGTTTCACCTTGCTCATCTGGCATACCTTCATGATTTTTTTGTATCTGGTAGGCTTTGATTAATCAAATCAGTGAACATGCTATTTTGTTGCCATGGCATCTCTAACCTCTTGTTCTATCACATTTTTCGAAGTGTTTGGTTTGAATGCTTTTATCGAATGCGATCATCTTTCATAAGTAGCACTTAAGAAGTATCAATTCTAAGTTATACTTTATCACTGTCGTAGAAGTCCGGCCTTTTTCTTCCGAGACTTTAAAGCAGACTCTACTTGTTAAACATCAGGAAATTATTTAGTTGTCCTTTCTGCTAATCACTCGACGTTAGTTTGGTTTCATATATTTTTATCGGCAAGACACGCAGTCGCATTTGTGCTTCGGGTAACTCGTTTGGGAGGGAGGTCTTATTGTTCACTTCTTCCAGTGACTCTAGTTTGATCCCTTTATTTACCTTGCTGCAGTATATAGCGCTGAACTTATCCTAGCACTGAATCCCATCTCTTTTGTGTCGCACCAACTTCTAGCCTGTATGTGCTACGAGTACCCAGTAGTCATTTATTTGAAACCCTTTTTGAACGGACTTGCTTAAATACACTGCTGCTTAGCAAGGGAAACTTTGCACGCAGAGGTCTATTAAGAGTTGGTGAGAAGTTAACATTCACATTCGCTCGTGGTGATTGTGTGACGGTCGAGCTTTTTTTCTGTAGGTAGGGAAAGCTTATAGTAGATGAAGCCATAGTCTTTCCACTTGGCGCGTAAAGCTCGTGATCGTCACTCAGGTTTGCAGTCCTTAGCGGCATTGGGGTTTTAAAGCCCGGAAACAGTTTTAGTTGAGTAGAATTGACTTTGAGAGGATATTTGAGCATGATATAAGGTTCGCGTTAACCGTAAGTCGAATTTGTGTCCTTACCCTTCATTGACCATCTTGAAAATTGCACCCCCTCTGGATAATTGTTGTGAATGAAGGCGTATTCTAGACTCTGGTAGAGGCACGGTATACTTTGAACTCGTGTTGATTTGTAGTAGATGTGGGTCGTTTTAATGTATGCGCTAGGCATCTCTCATCATGCGAATTCAACATCATTTAAACAACCATTTCGAAGGCGTGTACTCTCTCATCACCGTCTCCCGTGAAATGCGAGATCAAAGAAGAGGAGGGGCACAAACATTTAAAATAAGCCTTGATCCACAGTTGATGTAGGTCAGGCTTGTGTTTGCTTAATTCATCACTTTTCTTTCGAACCCCTTCTTTGTGACCTAGACACGTTTCTGAGGTACTGTCTTTTCTGAATTTTGGGCACTGTTGGGAGGCAGAATCTGAAGGTACGTTTGGAGGTCGTCCTGCTTTGCTTTAAGTAGGCGTTTATAGCAGTGATCTTTTATTGCCTTAATGAATCAGTTGTGCTTCTAACCCTCACATTTTCTGTTTCAACTAGCACCATGAGTGTGGGATTTAAAATGGTCAAATATGAAATCAGGGCAATTTTTGGCATATTATGGCTTGCATACAGATCAGCCAAGCTATCCGCCGTTGGTCGTAGAGATCTTGTGCGAGGCAATATTCCATTCTGATGCTGTTTATCCCTAGAAACCTAATCTGTTGCTAATGGCTATTCGTGATGCGATGGATATTTCCTAACGGATGTATGTGTTCATTAGCCTTCTCTAGCTCTATTTTCCTGCCGATATTCATGTCCGTGTCTACTCGCCTATTGCTTTTACCACCTATTAGTATTGACGAGATCTACTTGCTTGAATTTTGTGGGCTTCGCTTGAATCTGTCTCTCCCACTTTAAAAGGTAATTAATTCATAAGACCGTTTTCCTTCTGTTTGATCTTCGAGAAAGCTCCTTTGTTTGATCCAAAAAGAGGAGCTCTTTTCGAGAACGGCTTACTTCCTCGATTAATTCAAGCATGCCAGAGGTGATACGACGTTGTGTAAGGCGATAATGTGATTTATTGTTTATACTGAGGTGTTATTTTGATGCCTATCATCTGGGCACGTGTCCATTCATCACGTGATTTTCACCCCGTTCCTACACGTTGTTAGGACCGCGATTTGATCGGCGATTGATCTATTTGTCCTCCCTGTTTTTTTCGGTGAAAAGGATTTTATCTGACCTCCGAATACTATTAGAGGCGTGATACTGTTGGGAGTTGCTGATTGTCTGCAAACAGAAATCGGTCCTGTGTCCACATCACTCGTCGACCAGCCCTCAGTTTTGAGGGGATACATTCAAAATAGCGCCGGTGCGTATTTACGGCACCATCATTCTTAAAACGCACCTATTTTCCCTATTTCTTTGCCCCGAATTTGTTCTTTTCTGTACCAGTCTTTAAATTGCTGAAGATGAGAAGAGGGTAACTATTAAGGCTTTTTGACTTAACATTTGCACATTAATGTGTGCTTAATAGTTCTTATGCTTGATCGTTTTCCCAGGGGGTAATTAAATGAGACGTAACAGCTATTGTTCGACTTACTAAAACATGATTGTTCAACCGCCTGCTGCACGCTTCCTGACAATTTCATCAGCTAACTAATCCACGCATCTGTCTAGCTTCAGTACTAGCATCTGTGCTCATAGGTTCATGTGTCTACCGGCTGCGACGTCTTTTTTTGGGTACACCTTTGATTCGCCCATCTGCGGATTGTATTTGGCACGAGCGGCTCATCTCTAGCTCTACTGGGCGTTACGCTTGTCTCCACAACAGCAAATTCTGATGTAATTGCGCGGTTTTTATTTATGAATAGTCTTCTGCTGTTTAGAGAGGCAAAAATTTTGTATTTTGATTATTCTTTTATGTCTGAGTTGGCTAAAAACATGAGCCATAGGCTGAGAAAGTAATATTGCTATTCACCACTCCCCATGTGATTATTTCCTTTTTCTAGTCTTCATATTCCTGGCGTTTATCCTTTAGATTTTCTCCCCTTTTTGAGTGTGAAGTCCGAGTTATCCCTGCGGCCGTTGTCAGACTTTTGAGGCCAGACGTAAGTTTATTACAAAAGTACAGAATAGGTGGGGGGCTGGTAGCATAGGGGAGTTCCATGTCGTCATCGTGACGATCAAGCTGTCATATGGCGACATTTCAAATTTGAATATTTATCGCCTACAGCATACGGCAGTGGGTTTGTAGGATAAAATTAGGAGAGGAGGTAGAGTTCCAAGGTTCTGATCTGCGATAAAGATGTTGCGGTCACGTTTACGTCATTCACTGTCCATCCTGTAGAGGTTATCCTTTGTTCTGCTGTGTTAGGGCCGAATTTATGCCCTAGTCATTTACCGTCAATTCCTGTGAAAGTATTTACAATCAATTTAGCCTCATTTCTGCGTTGACGCGTTACGTACATCTGGAACATGGGGGAGAGGCGGTAGGAGAGTCGAGGATTGCGTATGTACAAATCGCTTTTTACTTTAGTGTGATTGGCCGACGTCCATGTCCTCCGAGTTGTTTACTGCTCACATGACCGCCTCAGAGGGCGACAAGCTCTGCACCCTCGAGGCTGAAGCGGCGGTTTCTGAGACGGCCTTTGGTGTGCGTGACATTCGTGTTGCTGAGGCATTGCCCTTCAGCGAGTCCCTTGCCTACATTAACCTCACCACACTGGAGGGTGAGAAGCTCTGCGTCGAAATCAGCGCAGCGGGCTTTAGACCTGTTGGTGTCTTGTGAGTCATCGCTGCCTATACTCCTTTCTTTGTCTTCCCTTTCCACCTCCAACCGTCTTCTTTCCGTCCTGTAGCTACGATGATGTGGTGGGACCAGTGCCACCACCTCACCAGGAGGGTGATGAGGAACCAGAACCCGGGATGGAGAACTACGAGACCATTTACGCTCTGCTGTCTGCCCGAAGTTCGGGTTTCCGTCACCAATTTTCGGAGAGATTGGCGCAGCGGCTTGCACAGTTACAGGACCAACAGCTATTGGAGGGGGACTATGAGGAGGAGGAGGAAGGAGGTGGGAAATGACGATATATAGTTCCGAGTTTTGCCGTATTTCGGTGTGTATTTCTTTAATCACTTACTGCCTCTTTCTTTCCTCCTCCCCTACATCCCTATACTTACTATGCTACTGTACAAAAGGAACGTTAGGAGTGCGTGCATTTTTGTGCATGTGTGTCATTTCTAGTTCCCTTGGAAGAGTCTAAGGTACTAGTGGAGCACCCCATGTTTTCTCCAAAGCTATAATAAGGCATTCCATTACAGGAGTTTTGCCTATTGTAGAGGGGTAGGGTGGATATAGGAGTTATCGAATATCCACGTCTGGAGAACCCGCATGGTTGGATTTTTTGCGCATAGCTCCTCTCTGTTAAGCGTAGTCCTTGAGGTCGCCCCTTGAAGATATGGTTGGTGTCAATGAATATTCTGTCTTAACACATCTGCTTTCGAGGTAACCTCCTTGTGACACCCTGATTTCCTTACTTGAGCACAGAGGTACAGATTTGACATAATCGGTTGTCCCCAATAGAGGCGCGAACGGTTTGGTGAATTTATGGCAAAGAACAGGAGTTGACTAACTCTTAAATCGCCCGAAAATATCGATGACAATTAGTCTCATGACAACAATGCGATTCTGGTAGTAGACGTTTCTGCTGCGGCTACAACAGCTCCGCCTGCAATTGCACTCACCTCATCCATCGCCTTAGTCTTTTCTCAATTCTCTCCTTCCAGTGGTCAGTTTAAGTGGATGCATCATGGCACGTGGTTTGTCTATTGCCACTTTGAATTCAGCCTCTCACTTGAAGCGTCAACGAATACTTGCGTAGCTTACACTCCCAATTGCCGTCTGTGCCTGGGAAACATTTTGGGGTCTGCCCAAGCATTCATCCAGCGTCCTCCAGGAATGCGAGTTGAGGGAAAAGCGCCGTTGCTGCCTCTATTTTTGTACGTCCCATGCGATTCAACAATTCGCGATGATTGCATTCCGCAGCTGGTGGTTGGCAAAACTAATGACAGATTTTTTGGTTTGCGAAAGTGTACGAACAAATAACCTGGAAGGACAGCTTTTCTAATGACCTCGTTCGCATGAATGCAGCGCTAAACGATGTTTCGATTCCATCTGCTGATTTTCAGAATGTAGGAACTCTGGAATAAGTGCAAGAAATTGAGGAGTTCGAGTCAGCGGGACTCCATGGTCACCAGATTTGATGGCGCAGTAGACCACGCACGCATCGTGTTTAGGCTATTTTAGCCTGGACGGCTATACTCGGGGTGGCAAGCCTCATCCCTCCGTCCTACGTCTGTCGTCGACGTGGAACACATCATGGATGTAGAGATTGTCGTGGTATTTGTGCAAGAGGCTGGCACTCCTCTGGCAATCACTCACTCATCCTCAAACACAAACATCTCCAAATATTTTGCGATCCTAGAAAGTGGTTCTGTTTTACACTGGTTGTCACTACAGTGAAACGGATCTACCTGAAATGGCTGTGTCGAGCTGGCCGATCTGCCTGTGTCAAAACTTCCCGGATGTTAGTTAGAAGCTGGAATGATCGACAGGATGCTGAACCTTCGAGTTGCCCCTCGAAGACATACGAGACGGGAGGTGGCCTTATCAGGAATACCTTGAGAGGCTGGGTAACTACCTATGGTTATCAGGGCTTACCAATCGACTTGATTGCAAGTCTGTCTCGTTTCGCTTGTGCGGAGGTCTTGGTTGTCAGTTCTGTGTTTGAAGCTCGCGCACTCACAAGTACCATGACACCAAGCAGAGGAGAGTTGGCAGCGACTGAGTTCGCCTGAAGTCGTAGTAGGCCCTACTGCCGCACGCATACATAGTGACGACGTTTTTCAGTCCCTCAACGAGGCTTCTGGATTAATTGCCTACAGCTCCTAATCTTGGTTATTTCGCTCGCTGCGAAGTTTACTTTCAGGGGTATGTAGAAGAGGAGTACTGACAATGAGACGTAATTTCACGGACGTGGATTGTGACAGACACACTCATTTGATGAAGCACTGCAGTGTTATACATTCGACAAATAGGAGGACTTCAGCACACCTGTTCAGGAGTGGCGTTGTCAGGACAAGGATGCTTAATCCAGCCTCAGCGGAGGTCACGCCATCAGAAGATCAACAACAGGCTGTAAGAAGAAAATCCCCTTCTAGAATATGAGGACTCATACATCAATCGGTAGCCTTCGCAAACGGTCCAATTCAACGACTTCAGATTCTCGAAATTCAAGCACCAATTCTGATACTTCAAGGTCTGTTGCAGCTTCCATAACTCCTGCGACAGTCACAGCAGCAAGGGTCTTCGCAGCGAGGCTGCAGCAGTGATTGCTGGAATTTGGACTCTTTTACCCTCTGATGGATGTGGTTGTTGCCACAATGACAAAGTTCCTTCATCACTCCTCTTTTTATTCTAGTTTTATCTTACTAACTTCAGGATAACCGCTTGTCGGAATGCAAGTGGGCTTTATTTCAGTTCCGCCAAGTCTTTCTTTCCACTGCGCTTAGCGAAGCCTGCGCCCTGACAATCTCCGACACTGTGGCACGGCTGATGACCCGAAATTGGTCAAGAATCTACCACACCCAAACGACTTTATAAGTGGACTTTCAGCCTCAGCAGTAGAAGAGTCTCGAAGACGTCTTCATTCGTGTTCATTTATGCTCCAAACTTCTCTACCGTGGTACAGTGAAAGAAACCAAGCGGTGGATGCATTTCTTATGAACTCGCACCCTTCAGTGCCAAACATTCCAGGTGGAGCGCTCACTCATCCTCGTGCGAATCTTGAAAGATTCGCAGAAGCGGTTCCAACGCTAATTGAATTCTTTTTTATTTGACTCATTCATTGACAGCGTGAACAACTTGGTCGACATTTCTTCGTCGCTCTCCATGCCACGCAACGTAGAGGAAGGCAGCAACAAGGCAGTGCTTTCCTCTTTCCACCAAAGTCCCTTTAGCGCAGTTAATGCATAAAGGTCATGTGAAGAGGTTCTAACACCAAGGAGGTACACCAAACTCCACCCTTCTTGAGAGACAACCTGTGCTCCGTTTTCAGTAGTCTTCGACAAATTCATTTTAAACTAATCAAACGGTCATTTTTGAGGCGGTTATAATATTCCATTGCCTTTGTGACCTCCATGGAAGTCAACCAATCAGCCAAGTGGTACATTCAATGCCGCACCATGTGAAAAGAAGTTGGCATGTATTCTTGTTGGCACCACCGAAGCAGACGATTCCATCATGAATGGACAAGGACAAGTCAGTAATCATGGCCGTCTTCTGGACGGTAGACCTCTCATAGATAATATATGACCCCAGTTGAAACCATCGATAGCCTATATTCTGGAGAAGGTGGTGTGGAGGAATGCGGAATTAGGGGGGAGGTGTTAACGAAGCATGCCTCGATCTTATCAAGCAAAGGACTTGACGGGTTTACTGGCTTGACCTTAATAGGGACCCTATTGTGGCCAACAGGCCCTGGAGGTCACTTGACTTCATTCCTTCACGATGGCATGGAGATGGGTCATTCTTAGACCTTCTACGACATCGAACTTTATTAAATGATGGGTCTGTTGCCACGGCTCGCCTAACAATCCACTTGAATTTCTAGCCTGTAGGCTTTCTTCCATGATGGAGGAGAGTAATGTCTGCCTTAGTTCTCTTGAAAGGATGAGAGATCTCCCTTGATTCCGTCTCCACATTAGTGGCGTGAAGTTCTTCATTTTGTACCACATGCGTCACGGGTCGGTTAGACCTTCTCTACCCAGAGAATGCCACTCCTTCCAGCCTCGTACGTCGTGTACAACGGTGATGATGTGATGGGATATGCTCAATGCCCATAACTGATGTGGAAGTGTGAATGTTGAGTGAACTACACAAATCTGCTATCTCCATGTTTCTCGTTAAAATGAAATCGAAGAAACTATCCTACAACTTCCGAAAGCTTCCTGACTTATTTCATTCCTTGAGGTGCTCCCCCATTGCATCCAACAAATCTCTACAAACTGGAGAGGAGTCAGTTGGAAATCCTATCCCTGTGAAAAATTTGTAGAGGAGAGTTGATGTTCAACACTTGGAGAAGGTCCGATTGCCCTCGAAACGCCAGCCTACCTTCCCGGGACGTTGTTACACCTCTGGAACCGAGTCCCACAAGACAGACTACCTCGATTCACCTCCATCAGGTTAATTTAATCAGTATCCCATAAAATTGGAAGCAAGGGTGAAGGGTTGAAAGGACCTTTAGCATACCCAGAAAGTGGTCCAGCGAAGTGTGAGGGTGAGTGGATGGACTGACGCATATTTGCGCTTTCTAATGTATTCGTGTGACCGACCGAAAAATTCCTGCAAGTTCTAACGCTCTTACAACGAGGTATGCCGAAAACCACACGAGTGTCATTAACCAGGGGATTCAGGGGCAGACAAATAACTAGGCAGTAAAAGTACAGGAATGAATGCGAGAGGTTAGGGCCACCGGAGCAAGGAAGAAGGTCAACATAATGCAACGGGGTTTCACACCAACAGACGGCTTCTTTGCAAACGATGAGACTAGTGAATAGCCTGATTGTAAAACGCCATAAATGGTGAGAACTTCACCGCGTTTTGTAAGCAGGACGGACTGGATCACTACCGTTTAATTGAGGAGACAATCATTTCGTCTGTCTTGCGATGGTTGCCACAGAAGAGAAATTGATGGTAGTGCAGTGGAGGAGACTCCAAACTTGAAGTTGGGAGACTGGATGCGTGTTTCTTGGGTCAGGCCATGCAGCAATATGCCTGCTCACATCGAAGACGGGCGTCTGTCCTGAGGCAAAGTAGTCGCTAAGCCAGGCAGGCGCTTTGGCCACCTTTCGGAAAACAAATGGCTTCACGATGCCGGATGACTGCACATTGTCATATCTATGCCACGCCTAGCACACATTCAGCCGTTTGGTTTCCTGGCATTCTGACTTCCTTGCCTGGAACACCATAGACCATCTCAATGCCTTTGGGCCATTGCATTGCGGAGGTTATTACTCACACGCCCGCCTCCAACTATGATAGACATGTTGTCGTCCACTGTCTGCTGACACTTCAGCTTCGGTTAATTTACTGCAAGTTGTGTGTACTCGTTCATCATTTGCTCTGAAGAGAGGGAGGACGAAGTGGATGGGATAAGTAGACCCTCCTAAAAGTGACTAATTGTGAGGGAAGATGGGGATTGCCTCCGAGGAAATCCGTTGAGACAACTTGAATTATTCAACCAAGAAATCTGAGATGGGTGGTTGGATGAATGAACAAAGTAGTAAATGGGTGGACAGACCAATGGGGAGTTGAGAGAAAGAACACACAGTTGAGTGGAGCCAGGATGGATAGATAGATGGATGGATAGACAGATATTTGAATGGAGCGGCGACGTGTGGAATGTCGAAGGAATGAGATCAAGGTGGACAGATTGGTGATTTTAATGGATCGGCATTGAATGAATGGACAATGGCGGATGGACCCATTATCAAATGCAAACTTCATCTTGCCTCTTGCTGATCGCCTCAAATAGACGATCATTGAAGGCGGTTGGAAGTGGAGTTGAAGAAGTCGCTGGTTCTCTTCATCCCCCTCTTCTTGCACATTAAACTCGGATATGAGCAATACGAAATCCAGTCAAATCAAAGTACAGAATCTAGAAGCGGTGAAGGGAAGGTGAGAGAGGCCCTCGTTGTCTCTTACGGTGTCTCACAATAATAAGCACCAAGTTCATGACGAAGAATTCTAGGATGAGGCCACTGGAGATGATGGTACCAAAATATTGCTGTGGTGAGCTCCACTGAATGGCTGGCGCTGTCGAGAGAATGTGACTGGTCAGAGTGGCAAAGGTTTCGTTGATCTGAAGGCGCAGAAAAGAGTGGTTGATAGCGTTACGAAAAGATTGGTGTTGAGAAGCTTTTCATATTTGTTATTCTTTGGATAACGTCAGGCACTCCGCACAATTTTGGATGACTCTAGTAAAATGCCACTAGCTCATCTATTTTCCATCCCGGCCGAGGAAGAAGCGTATGCCAGCCATTCCGCACGCTTCATAAAGATCTTGCATCCAAATCACCTTATTAATAAAATTGCTACCAATTTGGAATATAGGAATGAAGGAGAGATGAATTTTCTCTGGGGTGTTTATACCTTGCAGGCATATGTCCCCACCAGATTATCGTCAACTCTATTTCAGTGTTTAGCATTAAGTTAACAGCTGTAGGACAGGAGGTAACAGATGAACTCAGCAGAACCAACGTGGTGTAGCAAGAGGAGCTTTCTGCATTGAAGGCGAATCAGTGTAACATGTTTCCTCAATTTCGAAGTCATTGAACTTCAACTGCGAAACAGGGGTGGGGGCAGAAGCACACTTACTAGACGCCGATTCTATTCAGTCATGGCAACTGGGATTTGTGGAGGTCACTTATCAAAATATCAACACTGGACTGTACATTTGATTAGTTGGCTTCATAAGATCGAAATCTTGGAAGAGGGAAGTGGATCTCAATGTTGAATTTGGATAATTTTAGACCAGATTTGAATTATTTGGGCATTGACATTGTGGTAGATGACGGTTACAAATAAAAGGACAAAGGAACGGGTTTAAAGGGAACGGCTTGAGTGGTTAGACGGGGGAACGGATGCGATATGGGCGGTTGCATGTAGGGTGAGTAGTAGCTCGCTTTCGAAGTGGGGATTTAACACGTAAACCCACTGATTAACTTAACGCTCAACCCAACCGAGGAACTTGTTGACGGTTGTAACTGTTTGCATTGCCGCTGGGGTGCCTGCATTTCCAAAAAACTTTCCTGCTACGGGTTTCTGGAAGCGACTATTTCCATGGCTGATTTTACTAGCATTCCACAAGGTCGCATTCTTGCTCAGTCCCCCGTAGTTGGCCGAGAATTGTCCAGAAGTACTGTGAGCGTACTACTTATTAACGTAAGGCTAATGTCAGGAGCCTTTGCGCCTTCACCATACTCTACTAGCCAGCTATCTCTCACGTACCCCAGCTTGGCGTTCCATCTCATTTTCATAAAAATGGACAGATAAAGCCATCTGCGCCCAGTTCTTACCGATTGAGTGCTCTGCATGTCAGTATAACACGATCAGACTCCACTCGAGTGGATGTCAACTGAGGGCAATTACACAACTAAATGATTTCATTTTCGAGGATAATTGCAATCACTTATCACACATCATCTACTCATACCTGAAACCATCTCCAAATGTCTCCTCCAACAATTAGGTATTATCAGAAACTGAATAAGTCAAGCTGCTAAAGTCGCATCAAGCGTAACACATCATCGCACAAACCCATCTGTTTGAATGCGCTGTCGGCTTGCATTCACTAAAATGGAGGAACCTTCGATCTATCAAAACCTGTCGAATGATTTCTCGAATAAAAACCATAAAACACCTCTTTTGTTTTCAACTAACTCAAACAGGCTGCTGAGGTCAGGTCACTGAGCTTAGAGAGACAATGCTACCGAATCCACAGCACAAGGCCAGTTGTGTGCAATGTCGTCCCCCGTCGCTCAATTGCGATTTTGAAATGAGGGAGTTGGAACATACACTTTCGTGAAAGGTGGTCCTCTCCCAATCACTGCTACCACTATATCCGTAGCCCTTCAATAGTGTCATCACAATCCTACTCTAAGGACAGCTATCTTAAGCCACTTAATGCTCCTCAACAGGGAGATAAAACAGATTATGGTTAAATAATGGGCAAGGAGGGCATTCAGCCTCTTGTAAACCATTTGGTAAGAGTTCACTTAAGAGCCTGTTAGAGTGCTACAGGGGGGATTCGACAGCTCCGTTCTTTTGCCGATTGTCTCAAGTTACCTTCAAAATGTAGGAGGGGTAAAACATTCCAGTGTGCAGCGAAGAACCCTGCGGCAAGCTTAATTAGACTTTTCCGTAAAATGAATTTACAGTTATGTAAATTGATAAAAATTGACTTTATGATACTAGGCAACGACAAAAACTGGACAAAATAGGATGACCAATAAAGAGATGCAGTAAACGATCCCCCTAATAGGCAGGGTAGTGCTACGTAAAAGGGCGGCATATGTTCTACCCATAAGCATTCAACCACTTGTCCACTCCAGTCTTCGCGATTTGCATTACTATCAATGCGCCGTGGCCCTATCCACCTACTCATGGTTTACTATTTGCTTACAAAAGAATTCGAAATTCCGTACCAATCAGTGAATGTCACCTCATCCAAATTTTGCCGATGTTCGAGGACTTCAATATCACTTTATTCGATTATCCCCAAAACAACGCGCCATGCGCTTGATCTATCAAAGCTGGGCGTCATCTAACGGAAAAGCGTCAGACCACTGTAGTTTACCGTTTAAATTTTTGGTTTATTGTGTCTGTAGTTGATTGCCGAGGTGCCGTCAACTTCCCGAATCATGTATCTATGCTCAATTTCGTGGATTCTGTCAGTGATGCACAAAGGTCAACGTTTGATTGGCTTAAACAAAGTTGGTGAAAATGGCGCAACTTGGCTAGTTAACAAAACTGTGAAGTAGCAGTAGTAAATGCTTTGATTATACTATTATTAGCAAGCGAAATTCGGTGGATGTACTTTATCCTACGTATCTTGGTGCGCTCTAATTGCAAGACAAGAGATAAGATTTCGAAGGAAGCATTCCAAACAAGGAATCTCTGCACAAATTAGAGGCAACTCAAAAAAATTAAATTTTGGCTAGTATCGCCAATGGTAGCGCCGTCTTCCTTGCCATCTTAGTGATGAGCCCCATTATGCTCATCACAAAATGCTCTGAGAGGCAATAAGTACCTCTCCTATCATCTCTTCACTCCGATGCAGCCATTTGCGATTCCAAAACTCATGCATAAACTTGTCTGAAGTAGCATGTACTTTGCCTCAGGACACACCGGTCGCTAAGGTGCGCGAGCCAATTGCTGGATGACCTGACCTTGGAGACACACCATTATTCCTCCACTATCAGGTTTTAAGTCTCCTTCTTTGCGCTTGCATTAACTTCTTTCCTGTGGTAGCTATGTATCTAGCATCCATTAATCCATCCATTCATCAATCACACTTCCATCCATATATCCAGCTAGTGCCCATTCATTCATCCAACCAACCACGATTTAACTAACTGGAAAAAAGACAGCAATACGGATAGTAAACCATCAAAAGCGGAATCGTTACTGATGGATGTGGGACTATTGTAAATAATTGCAAGGACACAAATAACTCGTTCTTCTGCCATATCACTTGTAGGAGGATTCTCAGTCCTCCTACCATCCCTTGTCAATGTTCGGTGCCGTCAATTTGGGCGGATTTGTTGTTCACAAGAGTCAGATCCCCCATGTATAAACATAGGAGCAAATTCCAAATAAGAATATTTTTCTAAGAAAGAGCGAATGAAGAATAAGTCAGTGGTAGCTCTGTAGCTCGAAGTAAAAAAATTAATTTTTTATATCTTTAGTGACAATTGCTGTTTGTTTGTCAAGGGCATTTCTGTTGAGATTTCCAAATTGTGATCCCACAAGTTGTTTCAAAAATAGTAACTTACACTGTTGACAGGTGTCATTCCACAATTCCACTTCAACTGATGACTTAATCGTTTTGGAGGAGTTGTAAAATGAATCGGCTGTGCATCCTCTATCAAAGTCATTCAGCAGGGCAAAGAGCACACAATGCCTCATCACGCAAATATGTGTGCAAGCGAAGAGACGTTAGCTTGTATTCCTCATTGCAGCTTGCAAGAATTTTCAACCCCATGGAATGCATCAGGCACCTTCTCATCGTGTCGCTATGACATAACCGATTGTGACAAATTTGGTATGCAAAGTGCAAGCAGACTGTCGTGGTCGTCTTCAGGAATCCAAATTTAGCACAGCAGGTGTTGAAGGCAGATGCGGAAGTGGGCTGGTGTAGGATTCAGGCTTGGGGAATGAGGTGTAGGATTTAACAGGCATACTGGCTTAAGCGTACAAATGCGCTGTCATTGGCTCACTTCTACTGCACTGCTCCACCTTGGAAAGGATAATACTAATGTCCAAATATTTTAGAGATCACTTCGCCCAATCTCATGACGCTGGTTTCGTGATGGGACAATCTTGGCCCTACTGTAGATTGATATTATTCAACTGTTGCTGCAGTTGTCACGGTTATTTTAACAATCCATCTCATGTTCCATCCTGTCTCACTTTCTCATGATGCAGGGGAATGACGTCTGCTTTACTTCTCTTGAAAGGGCCACGCAAATCCCCTCTCATCTCGTCTGCACATCAGCTGCTTGCAGTTCTGCTAGGTGTGCTGCCATCCTCGCGGTTCTTTTGTACGCAGACTGTAGAGTACCTTGCAGCATCTTGTACCACAACACCTCGCCTGAGGTAACTAGGGGAAATCAGGCTGTTGAAATGGTAATGATGTGATGGGATGTGCTTAGCAGCCATTGTTTACCGGAAAACATCACCGCCTTCGTAGGTGCCTCAAGCACCGCCTGGTTAGTCGAATAGATGGAATCATGCAAGAAGAGACG